GGAAGTGTCTATGCAAAGTTCAGTAGCAGCAACAAGAGCATGAAAATAAAATACATATAACAAAAAATAAGAAAGAAAATACAGTGCGTATGAAAAGCCAACCAACACCGAAAGCGCGGCGGGAAAAGCATCAGCTGCGGAAAAGTAAACATAAAGTTTGGGATTCTGTCAGAGTGGCTGTGTTTGGCGTAGTATCCGGACTTTATAATTTCCATCCGGTTGTATTTAAATTATACTCAAGGTGCCGCTTGGCCACACAACTTTTGCCGCCTAACTGGAGTTTCACATGGCGTATACGTAATGTAAGTAGCAAATATTTCGCTGCCTTTTCATGCTGATGTACTTTTTAAGAAACTCCTCGGGCATTGTATAAACAAAAAAATAATAATCCTACCAAAATAGACTTTTAAATAGTACAAAAAATGGGACTGTTGACTCAAGTCAAGGGTTTCAACGGTCCTGGGAGAAGTTTACCAGTTTACATATCATCTTTTCCGCTTCCCTTGGCTGTTTGAAATACTTAAGGTTTTTATTTCGCTTCTATTTCTGTCAAAGTTTTGCCCTGACGTAGTCGTAGACCTAGTCGTCCTCATGTTGCTATTGTTGACTCTCCGTTTTCAATGCGGGCTTTTCCTCAGGACATGTTATCTCCCAGGCCATTGTCTCTTCTTGGCCGCACTACGAAGACGCTGCCACAAAGCCAGTTAGTTTACTGCAAAGAAAAAAATAAAGCCAGAATGAGGCTCAGAAAACAGCACAAAAAACATAAATACATGTAAGTGTATTAAATAAAACTTTCCTGGTTGCAGTTAACTCTTAAATACACTTCTAAGCAAAGCAACTCTTCATTCACATTTTTTGCAGATATGATTGCTAAAAAGTTCTGCAAGTCCCATATTCCATTCAAAGCAAAAGTTTTGTATGTGCGGAAAGTTTGAATAAAATTCAAACACACCCTTAGGCAGGGTATTAAAATAGAATCGACTTTAAGCGAAATGAGGCAATAAAGATTTATCTCGAAAGGACGGCCGCCAAAGCCAATGCAGCAGATTTGTCAAGGATTTGCGGCTGGAAATTTATTTTGGCTGCTCGCCTTCCCTGCTCCTCTCCTCCCCTCGTTTTCTGTTGACTTTTTGCAGTTGGTCCTTACAAAGTATACCGAAAAAGCAAACAGGGTATAGTTTACACATTGATTTTTAAGTAAAATTTCACAATATATAGCTGGGGCTTTATGTGTCTGTGTGTGTGTTTGGTCCCAAAACAATTGTAATCTATGATGTCGCATTCAACATGCATAAATTTTAATTAAACCAAAAATAAAACATGCGCTAGTTTGTTTATCGGCCAGAATTGAAATTTATTTTGTGTGTTTTTCAAAAACGAAATGAAATTTTTGTTGCCTACATTGCGGGCGCCTGATATGATTCTCGGTATTTATCAGTTGTTAACGCAGGAATGACTTCAAAAAATAAAAAAAATAAACAGAAAATAGAGAGTGTCAAAGTCCTTGACAAAAATTGCCACAAAACTGAAAATAAATACACAAATCTAATTGCGTTGCTCATTTCGAGAACTTGTTGAGAAAAGTTGTCCAAAAACTATGCACAAATATGACGGGACAGACAAAGCTTTTAGACTGCTTATGACATCACTTAGAAACAACTTGAAAACTACGTTTATATTTCCACTTCTCTCCTGTGGAGATTTTCGGATGGGGGTCCCCCCCTTGATAATCTATAGAACTTTACACCCACAGGCACTTGTCTTTTTTTTTGTTTCCATAATTTCATGCTTCTTCCTCCTCGCTTGGCAAGTTGAAAATCTTTTGGCTGTCGATTATCGGTTTACAAAGCAGGAACGTTGGATACTTGGGCTGTAAACAAGTTTTTCTTCGCCATGTGCCGCGATTTTTTGCCAGCCGTTTGTTTTTTCTTATTTTTAAATAATCTCGACGTGAGGCTTTCGCAGAAAATTTGTGCGGGGTCGTATACATGAGTTGTTTAGTAAAAGATAAAACGTGATTACGAAACAAAACACTGAACACTGGGTCCGTAGACGTCGGGCCTAAATATTGGGTATATTTTGTGGTGGTGCCGCCAGTGGCACCATAAATCAAAAAACCGCAGGCCTCGCCTGGGTCATGGGAAAAGTTAAACGTAGAAAATTGAGGGAAAACTTTAGTTTTAATGGGCCAAGTCCCGTTTTTCCGCACCGCCTTCGATCGTTTGGCTAAAAACAGAGCAAAATTCGTAAAAAGCTTCAAACGGCGAGAGTGCCGCAAACGCGTTAAGAATTATTGATGCCTCATTGCTGATTGCTCTGCGTTTACGCCATTTGACACACATCCGCATCCCACATCCCAGACTCAAATCCAGATCCCGGGGGTGCTCCTATAATTCGACGACCCTCGATTCCCCCCAAAAGGACACACACACTTGGGCATAAAAGTAAGTGAAGTTATTTGGTATGTCTGGCGTGTACATCGCATTTTCCTCCTCCCCCCCCACATCCATATCCCTGCGGTGGGTCCCCCTCTGGTTCTATGTTATTACAGTTTTCCTACGAAAACTGACACAAAAAATCAACGTTCACATTGTCAGCATATCAATGCCCTGCCTTCTCCCTTACATCTGCGTAAAATTATTGCCAAGTCTGCCATTTCAGGGCTCGCATTCATTGCATTAAATTGTATTTTTGATGTTGGCACAAAATATGGTAAAACAATAAATACGACTTTGGCTGATTGTGAGGGAGAGCACAGGTTCCTGGAATTCACTGACTCAATGACAATTGTTTTTTTTTTTATAAAATAAAAGAATCTGTGATCAAATTTATTTTTCAGGCATTCTTTTTTATTTTCAAGCATTCTACGGTTGCTGAAAAATATTATATTACGTTACGCAAATCAATTTTTGTTGCAGGTGGAAAACAAAATCATATATCAGTAACCTACGAGTAACCTACCTGCAAGTTTTAAATAGCAAGTTTTCTTGTTTAAATATTTTTTTTTAAGCAAGTTGTTATAACAAAATATCTTTTATTCTCGTTTGTTTCTGCAGTAAAATATCTTTGTTTAAGGCAATGTTTTTCCAGATTATTAATACAAGTACCCCTGAAAGCCTTATCACATGTTGAGGCTGAGATCTCGGAAAAGCAACAAACATTTAAATGATTTTTATGGCAACACATTTGGGTTCCCAACATTAAACCTTAATGTTTCGGTCTGTAGACTTTTTACTCTTACGAGTACGAGTATTATCGAAGACTCTTGTGTGTTTTTTGTTTGCAATAAAATTTCATGACGTTTGTTTGTCACAGCTACAGCTTTAGTTATTTTAAAACTTGCTTTAAATTTTTTGTATGCAAGCAGGAAATCCCATTCTCCTTAGGGTCCTTACTTTATTATTAGACCCCAAAAAATAGAGCGATAATTCAATTAGTTTCGGTATGTCTACCCAAACAAAGGCGGGATATTGCCTTTGTCGTCCTGGTGAGCTAAGTGATTCATGAGTGTTTCCCATTCCTGGGCCATTGTTGGAACCTATTTGCATTTTTGCGCTTTTCCCGCAATGGTCAGCATTCCGAAAATCCCAGTGTCCTCTCAGTACTTCCTTTATGGCCCTCAGTTCTAAGATGTTTACCAACGGAAAGTTGCAGACCTAAGTCAATGTTGGTTTGAAGACCAGTCTTGCTTTATAATCTTTCCACAAAGTTTCCGTTTTGGATTTTTCTTTTTGGCTTATACTTACTAATCTGCCATTGTTAGTTGGTCAATATTGAAATGCTTGAAAGTGAGTAAACGCTTTTCATTCTTTCTTAATATTTGCATTTTAGTAAAAAGGATACTTTAAACGTTACAACTTTCTGATGATTAAATTTTGTACACAATAAAAAAATACATTTTGTAAAAAACAAAAGACAAAACATTTAATTACTTTATTTATTTTCGCATTTAAAAAATAACTGTACCCACATGGGTATTTTCTTGCCAAATGGCGAAAAACAGCGGGAAATCAATTTCCATTAGGTCCTCGGATTAACTTTGAATTGTCAATATCCATGGAGAATAGGTCGTTAGACTGCATAAATTTATTTTTACCCTGTCCTTTTTAGCACGTGCCGCCATCGAGGGAGTCGTTAAAGCGCATTTTACCCAAAAGGAAAAAAAAAAAACAAAAATACCCCAAAAACGGGGGTTCCCACTAACAGATACCGACTGAATAAATACATTATAATCTTATGATTACGGTCAATAAAATCAACAATTGAGAAGAGTATAAAACATAAATATTTCCTTAGTCTGTCCCTTCATATCTCGCTTCCCTTTCTTTTCGCCACCAAAAAATATCAATTATAAAAAGAGGAAAAGCTCTGTGTAAAACCAATTTTTCGGTCTGCAATCAGAAGTGGAATGTTAAGATTTATTGGCTTTAAGCTTACTCTGTGACAGAGCCAGGTGGGAGTGAGGGAGTGAAGTATGTACCTGCAGAATAAACGACAATCAGGGGCTCTTCAGTTGTTGGGTGGCAGTTGGTAAAATGCGAAAACTGGTTGCTCGCACACTTGAGTTATTTTCCATTTGCATAAGCGCCTCCATTGAATATTCATACGCCAGGACGACGAGTATTTAATAGCGCCAATCGTGGAGTGGAAAATGAGGATGGAAATAATATTATATCAACTCCTAGCGAAAATATACTTTAAGTATCAGGGGACATATAGATTGCTTTGGTATGAAAGTGATTGTCTAGGGATATATTTGCATAAATATACATACTTATTAAGTTACATATTAAATATGCATAACTTAGGAAACCTTTTATTTTTCTTAAAGGTCCGTCACGTGTGGCTCATTTTCTTCCTTCAAGAAACATCTGCCATCAGCATTAACTCTTATGAAAAACACATTAGCATCTCTTTTTGATAATTTAAGACCTTTATTTCATATATTATTAACAGATGTCTGCATATTTCCGTACATTAACGTTCTGTTCTAAGGTAATTTCATGTTCTTTAGGCCTTGGAATTTTACCCATAATTCATATAGTTCATACATTGAGGTCCTTCGGCTTCTTCAGAGATGGCGTAACTTTGAATATGCTTCGTACTCCAGCCAATCATTAGGACCCGTTTGTTTTCAAATTCGTTGCTTTCTACAGCTGCAAATGCCATGCAGGTGGGATACACCTCGTCTTTGTCATCGTATCCTCATCGCACTCAATGAATTTCACCGGAGTAGTAACCGGGTGACCCTGCCTGGGAATTGCTAAGAGACATAACAGAACAAAGGATTTACGCTTGAAGATGACCGCCAAGTATATGCCTAGTGGGTCCATGGCGATGGCCAATGGTTCGCCACAGTGCCTCCATTCCCCCGAACAGCTTACATCCTGCAGATTTGCAACCATCTCGATGCGCCACGAAGGCTTGGGGTCCTTCAACAGCAGCGCTTCTTCCTCTTTGGTTCTCGAGTACAGCCGGGTACTGCCCTCCTTTACGAACAGCAGATGGGAGCTGCAAGTGGTCCAGACAGCTGTCTGGATGCGACCCCTTATCGGAATCTGCTCCTGGAACTTCCACATGGTCCTGTCCAGCTGGCAAGTGCTGGCACCGCTATTACAGTTCGCGCAGAGAATCTCCTTGAAATCGGGACTAAAGCGCAGCAGGTAAATGGAGCTCTTACTGCCGGGGTCTGGAATCAAACGCATCTTCTGCTGGTAGTCCGGATTCCAGAGAATGATGTTCTTAGAGCCCAGAGAGGCACTTACCAGGATGGTCCCATCCTCGTTCCACTGCAGCGAGGTCACACAGGTGTGGTCCTCGTCCTCTAAAATTCGCATGCGATGGGAGCCCTGCATGTGACGGATCTGACGATACAATTGGGATCGCCGATTGCTCATCCAAAGGCAAACCCCCGCCGAACAGCCCACGGCCAACTCTTGAGACCACGGACGAAAGGCGACGCAGGTGATGTGCTTCTGATCCAAGTCCTTAAGGCAGGACCTCTTCCCTAGGCTTTCGTTGTAGAGCAGCACAGTGTCCTCGCTGGTCACCAGGGCCATCAATAGGCTAGGACTGCTTGGATGAAAGTCCATGTAGCGAAAGGCCGCCGTTTTCCAGTCTCGCGTTTGGCTAATCCTAGTTAGGCTATCCTCAAGGACAGCCACAGGTATCCGTTTCACCTTCCATAGGGAAAACCCAAGAAGATTTTTCACGTATTTGCTTATCCTAAGAAGAAAACGTTTCCAAATGGCATTGACTAGTACACAGATCAAGTACCAAAGTTCCATAAAAAAGCCGGGATTACTTTTGGTTTCAATTTCCCGAAAGTGCACGGAAGGTTTAGGATTCTCTTGCCTGGAATCCATAATTTCTGAAAATTCCTTCTGATATTTCATAAAGTTCAACTTGAAACAATGAGCAAGAATTCCCAGGCTTACTTGTAGCCATAGTTATATATATTTTTAAATAAATGTTTATATTTTAATATAAATAAATCACTTTATTGAATTAATTCAATTCAAATTAAAACATATGAAACCTTTGCTGAAACATATTTCACAAATAATCTGATAAAGTCATAAATTGTATTCGATTTCTGTTTTGTTATTCATTGAATGTTTGCGACTATTTGAATTGAATTTTATTTGGCTTGCAAAGTGAAATTTCCATAATTTTTAATTATTTAACTTTTAATTTTTGGAATCTTTACCAGCATCGTTCCTAATTCCTTTTCTTTTGGCCAACTATCGGTTGAATTATGGTCGCAGGCGCTTACTTTATGCCTTTATTTCTTGTTGCATTTTAATGGCTTTACTTTCGTCCTATCGTTTTCCACTTTTTCACTCCTTATCTAGTCGGCTATTAGTTTTGATAAATGGCTTTAGCGATGCAGTTTTGGTCAACGCTGTCAGCAGTTTACCTCATCCCCAAAACACCGATATAAAAATATGTTTTATTTTCATAGCCTCGTGTTGGGCATTTTCTAAAAACTACGCCAAAGTGGTTTTAATACTTTTAATGCCTTCTTTAAAAAATAACACAAAAATGGCGGACAGCTTTTTGAAGTTTCAACAATGGGCTAAAGGCTTCACGGTATTTTGTTCATAATAAACTTAACCTGTTCATAACAAGTTCCGATTTATTTATTATAATCGAGTCGTCGAGCCTTTTTGTGCAGAATTTTATACAGCTTTTTATAGTCACTTTTCCATTGGTGGCTTTTTAAAATTTGATGTCAGCTTTTGGAGCGCAAAAAATATATATATGAAAATATTTTTAATGGTTAAAAATGCTTTAACAAAGGAGCCTTCATTTAAACAAAAACAAAATTTACAACCGCTGAAACAAAACGTTAACAAACACAGGCGTTGCACATAATTCACTCATATGGAGCAAACACAAAATGGAAAAAAAGTAACACACATCGAGCGAACTGCCAAATAAAATGAAATTATGCGGGTGGAAAACCATAAATTGACTTTTGGACCAACAAACGGAAAACAAAATAAAACTTTTCCTTCTGCGCGGAATAATTCGCAAGTTTTACGGTATGCTCCGCTTTGATCTACCGCATTAATATTTTATTTGTTATGTATGTAAGGAGGGGTCGTCTTATGTTACACGGGACTCCTGTGTGTCCTGCCTTTGTGTGTGTGTTTCTTGCAAATTGTCTTGTCAACAAAAAATAAAGAACAAAAATAACAAGAATGAGGCCGAAAAGCGGCCCATGGGGACCACAGGACACTCCTGCCAGGACCTGCTGAATGTGAAAAGGAGCTTCAAATGAAGCGTAAATAAAATTAAATAGTGGCTGCCTTGGTCCACTTTTACTCTTCGGATTCGGATAATTTCTGCCGTTTTCCACGTTGTTGATTTTTAAGTTATTTTGTTGGCCATTTTGACTTTCTGCCCCCATAATATTCTTATTTATATTGGTTTGAATGTTCCAAGGTATATTATCATGACATTAGGGATGACTTCAAGAATGAAAAGTCATGAATCTATAATTTAGTTACATAAAGGAATGCGGGCCTAGTGGCCATAAATTGATTTTGCAGTTAAACAGCCGTCCATCACGCCAACTCACGGACATTATCTGTGTCCAGCTGCGTGGGATTGGACCAAAAAGGAAGTCTTTTTTATCCCAATTTCCTTTTTTTTTATTTTAGACAAAAAATATATAAAGAACGGCTGGCAGCCAGAACGAAATAAAAGGCTGGCATTATGGCTGACACAAAAGCCAGGGGTTAGGTCGAAGCAACCACTTCTCGTCGGGGTTATACGGAATGCCTTTGTTTACAAATGAAATGGAAGCTCCTTTTTATGGGCCAACATTTTATGTGTTTATGTTTTCGACTTATGCGCCAACTGCTTGACCATTTTATTGATTTAGTAGCATGCTATCATCGGCTTTTTGCGAATGAAAATACAAACTCATATGCTTTTTTGCAGCCGTACCCACCGCCACTTGACACTTTGCAACTGAGCATTCCGTTTTTCCATTGAATTATTCAATTCCGGGGATGTTGCTGCAAATTAATAGGCAATTAATGTCAACAGCAGAGTCGTAAGCCGGCTGGACTTAGCATACCCTTGTTGAATTATAGCAGCTTCGCTGATTTAATCAATAATATATAATATATATACAGTAAGCGGTGAAAATACAAAAAATTGTATATATTTACATTTCGCTTTTGTAGGCTTTAATTCAATTAAGTTTTAATACAATTAATTTAGCGTATGGTGAAGTAAATGCATAATTAAAATAATTTTCATTTCAATCAACACATATTTAATTCCATGAAAATCAGAAGCTCTTGTCGCTTGTTGCCATACAGCATTAAGAAACATCAACAGAAATAAATCCATTTGCTGCAAAGCGAGACAGCTTCTTGGGTTGATTAGTATCCAAAGTCATTCTCCTCCTTAGTTCAACCCAATCTGAGCCAAGTGCAGTGCTAACTTTAGCCATTAAGCTTAGCCATAAATCCAACATATTGCCAGGCACATAAAGTACTCAACTTGGTTATATCTGAAGCCAAGCGAGCCATAAATTTCAATAAACACTCAATAAAGTAACCCAGGGGGGTTTGAAGACACACCACAGCCTTTAGCGGTGAATTAAGTCTTTTAATCATCGTTGTTCCTTCTATTAGTTGGTGCAAATTTAACGCCTAATCAAGAGTGTTGTGAACAAATTCTAATAATTATAAATCATGGCTGGGATGCAGGTATTAATAGGTTATATCTTTAGGGTTCATTCAAGCATAAATAAGAGCGGGTTCCTTAATATTTACTTTAAAAATATATACTTCTACTCATGCTTACAATTTCTTTAAGTGAGCATGGCGGAGTACCTAGTATAGTACATGCAATTAAGTACATAGTACATATATGTAGTTTAGTTTCAAGCACCTTCAAAACGTGCATACTGTGTGCGTCTTTGCCATGAATACCACTCGGGAGAGAGACGCACAAATGGAATTCTGGGGTTGAATGCCTGAGTCATGGCATAAATTTATTCATTTTAGCAGACTTGATGCTCTAATTATGCGTGACAGCTTGGCCAACGAGAAACTAACGAGCCCCAGCTTTAGTGTCTTTTAAACCCTGTCCATAAAGCTACAGAAACAGGTTTATTTCAAACACAAATCATACTTCTATATATCTGAAGGTTGCCTATAGTCCTTGCACATTTGTTTTACAATTTATTTCAACTTGGTAAAAGTCACAGGAGTCATTACTTAAAACCGCTGTAGCAGTCACATTATTATTTTTTTTTTAGTCAATAAAATCACCAATTATCTAAATGCATGGCGGGTAGACTTTCTGCGGTTTCTGGCTTCCATGGTTGTGCCTTTTGCTCAAGCATAAATTATGACTTGGACCACTTTTCGTGCATTGCGTATAAATCAGAGGAGGAAAAACAATTTACGCTTAGGCAACATAAAGCATTTTCCACAGTTTTCTTTTTTTTCTTTTGTTTTGTTTTACGCGCCTAAAGTTTGACTGGCATACAATAATTTATTAGGAAAGTCAGCGAAATGTAAAAGTCTCGAACAGAAACAGGCATATAACCAGATTGCCATGGCCGAAGAGGCAAAATGTTGCTTTCAAATTGCAAAAGGCAATCTTACTTCTGCGTATTCTGTTTCTGTTGTGAGAGTCGCGTCAAAAATTCCCAGCTCTTCGAGTCAGTGGTAACTCAATTAGAAAATTTAATTACGCCGCAAGGAAGGCAGCAGGAAGCGTTATTATACATATATTTTTCCAGCGATATGCAAACCTTGTGGAAATTAACTTTATTATACTTACGGCAACATGTATACCGGGACTGTAAATGAAGGCAAAAACCAAAGAAACAAAAATATAGCTTAAAAAATAAAGTAAATGAATAAGAACGTTATGAAAACCCTCTGAAGTGGTTTTAACGATTTTTTTTAAAGCCCCTGTATACAAGGTTCTTTGAAATAAAGCTCATGGAAAAAATATAATATACTATATAAAACAAAAACACATAAAATGGGTAAAGCTCTTCACCTTACCAACATTTAAAGCAACATTCTATTCAGCATTACACCTAAAATGCCAAACTATGAATTTAGCATTAAATAAAATATTTAAATAATGATATATAACATATTTTAAACACTTTTCATATGTGTTTACTAAATGTAAATATATTGCAAATATATTGCTAAGCAAATATTAAAGAAAACATTTTTTGTTTTCCTGATTAACCAAGTACATTCAAGGACGAAATAAAATGGTCTGGCAACCATTACCTTCTATTATTTATGAAATGCTCGATTGGTTTTCTTTGTACCCTAATAAAAACGGCATACAACCTTTGCCAAGAATACACAATAATTTTTGGCTTTAATTAAAAATCGCAGAGTTTATATAAAACGCCCTGCCTGCCTCTCATAATTTGCATTGGATAACAAAACTTTTGGGGCCCGGAAAATGCAGGATACAATCCCAACACCAATTTACCTTATCAATCACCTGACGCGGCAGTCCACAATTGGTTGAAAAGATGGGAAAGGGATTTGGAGGGGGTGTTCCTGGCGCTTAATCAAGCGCTAAGTCCACAGGAATCCCGCGAACGACCCTTTTGCTCAAGTTTTTGGGAAAACCGTTTACCTTTCACCTTTCACCTTTGGGCTTTCAGATTTCAGCTTTTGGCGGCGGCATTCACCTTCCGGATCGAGGAGCTGCGATGGCTATCTAGCAAGATTTTCGCCTTTTGTGGCGGTAATTTGTTGTTGTTTCACGTGGTAGCCGGCCCATTGGCTTTCTTGGTCGCTCAAATGAGGCGCATCATTAGTTGGCAGACGTTGATTTTCAGTTTCCCTTTTGGCCGCGATTTATTATTAA